CTTTGACCATGATCTGACTTTCTTCTACACTGGTGTCTTCCACTCACCAGTATGCACACACTACACAAAAACATTGAGGGCAGAGATAAGATCAAGCTCCTGCAGCATGTGCCAAGTCCTCGCCATTGTCTATGAGGGACATCATTCCAAAGGGTCCCTCAGTATGCTGTGCAGATTCTCTCCCAATGTTCTCTATACCACTAAGGTCATTTGGAAGCTTCTCACAAGGGGGAACCATTGCTTTTGTATTTTATGCAGTTGATTCCTAGAAATAATAGGGTCCAGGAATGAGAGAGAAAATTGAGAGTTCATTTGATCATGGGGAAGTGAAAGTGGGTGTTGAGTCATAGAGACAATGATTTTGGCAGGGACAACTATAGAAGAATTGTCAGAGTCAGTAGTGATGTAGTCAATGGTCCAGAGATGCTCAAGGGCAAAAAGATGGACTAACATAAAGAAAAACAGAAGGAATTTAGCAGAATCACTGTATGGGGTAGACATTAGAATGAACAGATGTTTTTCAGAAGTACCTAGACCTTGGAGTCAGCACATGACTGAGTCATTGTTTTTTTAAATCCAGACAATTAGTGGGTGTCTTTGAATTGGTGAGTTAAGGCGACTACTGTTCACTATTATGAATGAGGAGAGTTTGCTGTTGTTTGTTATTTTATTTTAGTTGTTCTGGTTGGTGGCTAATTGTTAGTTATATTCTTTTTACCCTGGTGGTGCTGGGTGTTTGCTCGTTTGCTGTATTGGGTATAACTGACTCCTTCCTCATTCTCCTTGATTGATCTCTTGCTTTCAGGGACTGTACCATACTCTTGTATATACTGTACCATACTCTTGTATATACTGTACCATACTCTTGTATATACAACTATCTTTCTTCTTCCTCTGTGTGCAGCATTCTTTTGAGAATTTTCTAAAGTGCTGATTTAATTGTTATGAATTGCCTTAACTTGTGTTTGTTTTGAAATATTTTGATTTCTTCATCTCTTTTTTCTTTTTCTTTTATTTTATCTGGAAGTCAGCAAGACCCAGCAAACCTCCTGCCTCTGTCCTGCTCAAAGCTAGAGTCATATTGTTATAATTCAAGGGACTTTTAATACATTCATAGGGCATTTGGAGACAGTGGATTCAGACAGGTGCCACAGTATAAAGGGCAAAAAGAGTTCTGGGGGTCGGTGGTTAGGCTCTGGCTCTTGTGACTCTAAATGTGAGACTTACCCATGTTATCTAGGATTTCCCTATGTGATAAATGAGAGAGGCCACACATTTTTAACCTAAAGGAGGGAGGCCCCCACCGTGATAGGGCCTAGGGTGAGCTGCTGACTTGATATATTTGCTCTGTGCCTGCCTTCCCGGTGATAGTGACTTCAAGACTTTCAGCCATAGGCAGAACAGTGTATACATAATAAATAAATAAATCTTTAAAAAAAAAAAAGACTTTCAGCTATAGGCAGAACACTGTATACATAATAAATAAATCTTTAAAAAAAAAAAAAGATTTTCAGCCATAACCAATCCTCCCTCCCCATTGGTCAGGGTGACATCCCTGGCTTGTTCCTGAGATCCAAACTCTGATCCTCAAGATGGTGCATAGGTGCTCTTAACCATCTCCCCAGTGCCGGGAACTCCTTGAACTATGCTATGGCCCTCTCAACCCCTTTATGATCCGTAACCTATATCTATATAAGGGTATAGATAAGCTAGCTGTATGACATAGAAGAGTAGTAGCTGTGATTTAAATCTGTTGTAAAAGACAGTTTTGAAGGTTGTAGCCGTCTATCTGATGGTTAGCCTAATGTTTTAGCCTCTGTACGGGTTGTTGTTTTTCCCTTACAGATTTTACAGTTTTTTCTTTGAATTTTTGGTATTTTGATGGACTGTGGGGAGGTTCACTCTGGTTGTGTCTATTTGGAATTTTAAACACTTTCTGTTCCATTGATTCTCAGATTTGGGTCTCTTGAATGTATCCCAGGTTTCTTGGAGTTTTTGACTATAATCATTTTTTCCTCTTGATCTATGTCTGTATATATTATTGTCTACGCCATCCTTAATATTCATTATTCTGCTCAGGTTTTATTTTTTTCTGTTGATGATGCTTTATATTGGGTTATTTATTTGATTGACATCAGTAGCTAGAGTTTTCCTGCCTGGCCCACGGTCAGGGCAAATCTCTCTCACCCGCCAGTCCCACAGCCTCTCAGACCCAACCAAGTAAACACAGAGACTTATATTGCTTACAAACTGTATGGCCATACCAGGCTTCTTGCTAACTGTTCTTACAGCTTAAATTAATCCATTTCTATAAATCTATACCTTGCCATGTGGCTCGTGGCTTACCGGCATCTTCACATGCTGTTTGTCATCGTGGCGGCTGGCAGTGTCTCTGACTCAGCCTTCCACTTCCCAGCTTTATTCTCCTCCTTGTCCCGCCTACACTTCCTCCTGCCTGACTACTGGCCAATCAGTGTTTTATTTACTAACCAATCAGAGCAACACATTTGCCATACAGAACATCCCACAGCAGACTGATTCTTTCATTTCCAGAATTTATATTTATTGTTGTTTTCAGTGTTTCTATTCCATTGCCAATTTTTTCCTTGATATTTTTAAATTTTTTCCTCCAGCTAACTGATCCTCTTGCCAACTTTGGTCATTGTCTTGTCGACGTCATGAACAGATTTTATGTTGTTTTGTTTTGTTGTTTGTTTTGTTTTTTGAGACAGGGTTTTCTCTGTATAACAGTCCTGGCTGTCCTGGCACTCACTCTGTAGACTAAGCTGGCCTTGAACTTACAGAGGTCTGCCTGCATGTGCCACCTCTGCCCAGCATGTTTCTTCTTTATGTCTTGAATTAAATTCATTATCTGTTTATCCGAGTCCTCTAGTACTCTGGAATCTCTTTCTGGTATCCCCCATTATTTTTGTCTTTGTTTTGCAGTGCTGAGAGGCAGCCAGATTATCGTGTTTGTAGTGTTGTCTGGTGTGCTAGCGGTGTTTCTTGTGTTACTTCGTCATGATATGCACATCTGTTTGAGTGTTTGCATCTTTATTTTGTAGCTTTTGTACCTTTTCTCTTTTTGTCTGTGTTGTTTTATGTGAGTCTTCCTGGTGAGTTGTATGTGTCTGTATTTACACTCAAGGGGAAATTTGACTTCAGTAATAACTGTGATGGTCTGACAAAAGTCTCAGTGTTAGTTACATGGGGAAAATACTGTGGATCTTGACTTATGTCCCCTGTGAGGACTTCAGTCATGAGTACTAGGGTTCTGTTTGTCCATCTGCTGTTGAGAGGACTGAGGAGATGCCCTAACAGACTGCTCAATCTTCTCTCGGAGATCAGGCCTCAATTTCAGTTTCCTGAGACTGGACAGGCAGTTTCTGAGGTCTAAGAGCCACAAACAAAGGGCCGTTAATCACTGGTGCCCCTGACAACAGAGACAAGAGAGATAGGACACACCAAGCCTGGGCCACTGAGCCAGCCCCCAGTCCGTATGTGCTAGGCCAGCCAGCCTCCACAGCAGCTCAAGGACAAAACCTGAGACTTGTCCAGGCCTGCCCCAAAATGGATAACTGAGGCCTGACAAACCCCCAACTAACTCTAGCCAATTAAAAGTTACTAATATGATTGCTACTTGCATAAGCCAATCATATCTAAGATGAGCCAACTTCCTTAGATACTCCCCTCAGTTAGGCTTAAAAAGAGCTCACACACTTTTCCCAGGGTCTTTGCCATCTTGCCTTTGTATGGGATGGCCTGCCCCAGCATGCTGGGAGCTTTGAGATTATAAATGCTCTTGTTGATTGCATACATGAATGGTGGTCTTTTGTGGGACTTCTCCAGGACCCTAACACTGGGTTCTGTCTCACTTGGCATAGTTCAGCTGCTCCATGTGGCTTCCATCCCAGGACACCTGTCTACCTCAGTAGCCCCCTTCCCTACCCCCCTAAGAGCCAACCAATGCCCACCAAGTCAACTGGAAGCAGTTTTTCTGGGAGAAACAATGCCCCTATTCCTGTTCACTCACTTTTTTATAATAAGCAAAAAGTCTGGAATGTTCAATTCTGCCCTCACTACAGCTGCATGACCACACATGCACAGTTCAGGAGTTAAGCAGAGTCCTATGTCACCAGCATGTGCTGGGGACATGCTCGAGGCATGGTCATGCAGAGCCGTGACTCAGACCCACCCTCTCTCTCTCTGTTCTGTTCAGTCTCTTCCCCCCACCATCTTTCCCTTTCTCAGCACATGCTTGTGGTGGTATTGTGTTCCCTAAAATATTGTGCACCCTAATAAACTTATCTGGGGTCAGAGACCGAACAGCCACTAGATACAAAGGCTAGAAAATGGTGGCATGCACGCCTTTAATCCTAGCACTCCAGAGGTAGAAATCCCTCTGGATCTCTGTGAGTTCAAGGCCACATTGGAAATGGCCAGGCATGGTGACACACGCCTTTAATCCCAGAAAGGAGCCTTTAATCCTAGGGAGTGGTGGTAGAAAGCAGAAAGGTATATAAGGCGTGAAGACCAGGAACTAGAAGCATTTGGCTGCTTAAGCATTTGGCTGGTTAAGCTTTCAGGCTTCTAGCAGCACAGTTCAGCTGAGAGCCATTTGGATATGAGGACACAGAGGCTTCCCGTCTGAGGAAACAAGACCAGCTGAGAAGTTGGCCAGGTGAGGTTAGCTGTGGCTTGTTCTGTCTCTCTGACCATCCAGCATTTCACCCCAATAACTGGCCCTGGGTTTGATTTTATTAATAAAACTCTTTAAGATTCCTGCCACACATGCTCCTTTCCCAGGCCTGGTTCTTTTGTCTCCCCCACTTCCTCCTAATAAAGCTCTGAAACTGATACTGGGTTCTGTCGTGACCATGACCTTTCTGCGCAGTAACCAGCACCGCTTATCATTTCAAAACCCAACTGTGGAAGATAGAAAACAAAAATTAAGCTAAAATACATAGTGTTCAAATTTTAAAAAACAAAACAATAAAGCAAAAGGTTTTCACAAAATGCTTTATTTCTCTAATTGCTATTTCTTATAAATAACTTTGGCAACATTAATAAAATAATAACCTTTATTTGAAAAAGAAGCAACAGACTTCACAGAGTAACAAAATAGTAATCTTGACAGATATTTAATACATGTGTAAACAAAACAAAGTGACACTGCTTTAAAAATAGAGCTATCAATATAAAACAGAAAGCTCACTATGTTTCTTTGTGTTATAGGCACAGAAATGGACTTAAGCTAGCTCACTTCTAAGACAGAACCAAAGCTCTTGCTAATGATTTCTTCCTGAAGTTCTGTGACTAAGAAACTTAGCAGGGGGAAGAAAGGTGCAGCCAGAGGTAAACTGCCTTCCAAGAGAAGGACTAAACAGGACTTTAAAAGCAGGGGAGTTTCTAGTCACTCTAAAAGTCTCGACAAGCTTAATAAACCACGTGTGAGGTAGCGAGCCATGCAGGCTTAGGGAGAACACGGTGAGGAAGGGGCAGCCTGTACAGCCTGTGCACCAGGAAGAAACAGGAATTTTCTTGAGGGACAACAAGGCCAATACAATAGGTTGGAATAGTGCAGCAGCAGGGAGACACTGGGAAGTGGCCGTGGATGGGAGGCGTAGGTAGGCAGGAGCCAGAGCGCTGGGGCCTCCCTTAGCAGTAAACAACAATCCGTACTCCTTAGGAGCATGCTTTTGTGAAATGGCAAAGTACAGCAACAGTGCTGGAGATACTAAGCACTCGCTAAACACAGGTCTAAGGTGGTTCTTATTTTTACCATAGACAGTACACAAGTCTGCAGTACACGTATGATTCATTTCATACACAGTAGGACTTGCCCACCAGAACAAGTGGGGCAAACAACATTTTCCACATCTAAAGGAAAGGTACAGGGTAAAAAGTTAGGTGTGCCTTGGCCCAAGAAACCTCATTGAAAAGGCCTATCAAAATAGAGCAGATCACAATCAATCAATGGATCAAGCACAGAGCAAATAAATACAACAAAAGATACTAGCAACCTCTCATCTCCCTCAGTCTTAACAGAGAGGCCAAGGCCTGGTGATGATCTCTTCCCAGTTTTTCATGAAATCGAAGGAAACTTCATTAGACTGAGGAAGGAAAAATGGATAGGGACATCCTAAGGGACCCACCCCCAATGCCCCTTTCTTCTTTTTGGTTATAAGAGACAGGGTCTTACTGTGTAGTTAGTTTGGCAAGGAACTCATTAAGCAGCCCAGACTGACCCTGAACTCCAGACCCTTCTGCCCCAGGCTCCTAAGAGCAGTTATTACCAGTGTGTGCTACCACACCCAGCAAGATAAAGTACCTTTAAAGAAAGGAACAGGAAACTAGGAGATTTTTTCCAGACCATGTTTATAACCAGCATGCATCTAGACTCCTTGACTGATGAACAGAAGCAGCTGGGCACCTGGGCTAAACATGAAGGAACAGAGGTGGCACTGGACCACGCTCAAGAAGACAGGCCTGGAAACTTTTACAGAAACAGCTAATGCTACTGAGGTTGCTGAGGACAAACAAATCCTCAGGGGGTGCCCTACAGTCCTACAAAGAGTTGTTCCTCCTAGTGACCAGCTAAGTAGTATGCTATATTAATGGGAGAAAGCAAGTCTTCATTTAGGACATCGCCTGCACACTAAAGTGCTTCAAGTAAGACCCAAGCAATATTAGTGTGATCAACTGAGAAATTATACATACAACAACAAGAATGCTATTCATTATAATCACTCAAATATGAGGCAAGATACAAATTGTGACTAGGGATATAGTTCAGTGGCAGAGCCCTTGCCTGGTACATGTAAGGCCCTGGGCTTAATCCCTAGCACCAAGTGGGGGTGAGGGGGGAGCACCACATCACCAAATTGCAAGCTTCACATATTCAATAAACATAAGATACACATACACTAAAAAAAAAAACGTAGTGAAAAGGCTCCATCATGGGCCCTGGGTTATTTTTTTGTGCTATGTCCAATATCATTGGGCAAGTCCCTATTACATCATAAAAGTAGAACTAAATTCAGCCCAGGCCATAAACTAGACAGACGCCATTTTTCTGAACCTTTTCAATTAAAACTAAAGTCCAATAAATTTCAAACTACAAATGCCAAGGCTTCTTGCCCCAAGAAAAGACAATGCACTTTACTGTTGTGGCCCATAAGGATATGGCCAGTTCTTTCTTCAAACACAGCTAGCCAGAAGGGGGAGGAGAGTGCATAAGTCCAACTACCCGACGCATCAAGCGATAGGAAGTCCATGGACACCAGCTCCCATTCTACTAATTACTGTTGCTGCTTCACGTGGCACTAAGGATACACAGCTGTGCTTTCAATGCTTGTAGGGGGCCCTTCATAAAACGTGGACATTTTACAAGAATGGCTTGGCCTCCTTGAATCTTCTTTTGGGTAAAGACATTTAGGCAGTACTCACTCTTTGGCTCCAAGACTGGAATGAATGTGTGCCTGTCCACTTACCCATGATAAACCATTTAAGAAGAGAGCTCTCTCCCTCCTGTAGCAAGCATTAACTACCTATAGATCTTCAGGGAGAGGTGGAGCCTTGTGAGCCCCATCCAACTCGAAACTTTTATGCAGAAGAGCTCTCAAGCTTAGGAGTTACATAAAATACTAATAAATAGGTTTAACTTCTGTTTTCCATTCACAAGGATATAGGCATAAGCACCTTCCTTGGGTTGAGCCAAACACTTAATATGAAACCAGATATATCTTAAATAACACTCACTATTCATTCAGAAAACACTGTAGGTCAGAGTAGGAGGGTAGTAGAGTACTTGCTTATTATTTGTGAGGCCTTGAATCCAGCCCCAGAACTAAAACAGAACAAGACAAACCCTCACAAAGTAAAAACAAATGAACAAACAAAAACCCTGCATTATCACAAAATTAAAGAAAAAACAGTCCATTTCTTCATCAGTCTTGGGTCCTGACGAATAACGACTGTACAGTTTGTCCTCTCATCTCTCTGAAGGGTTCTGGGTTCTGACTTAGATTAGAATCAGTGGGACCTTTTTGAAGGTTTTCCTTGAGATCTGGGGGAAGGCGGTTCCCAGTCAGTTGTGCTCACAGTGACCGATGCTACTTTCCCAGATTCTGACTGAACAGGATCCACCGAGACCTGAATAACAACCTTCGTCTCGGGAGGCAACCCTTCTAGCTGCTTAGGTTTCTTAAACATTTGGTGACACCGGGTCTTATGCTCCATTTTTTCCTTGAAGGTTAAAAACTGTAGCCGACATTTGGAACACTGGTGACCGTTCCTTTCCCAGTGCCCCCGATAGTGACACATGTATGGTGTTCCGGTTTTGAAAATTTTAAGACAAAATGGACAAAGCAGGTTCTTAGTGTTGACATGGTACTTTCTAAAATGTGTTTCCACATCGGCAAAGACAGACGACCTGTATTTACAGATCTGGCACACGTACGGCATTTCCCCGGGCTTATGATTGTCCTTCATGTGCTCTAAAAGAACTTGATCTGTCTCAAATGACAATTCGCAGATTCTGCAGACCATGGTGGGGTCAGGGGCGATGTGCACACGGTCGACGTGGAACTCCAGCTGGATGGGAGAGGTGAACTGCCGATGGCAGTGCTGGCAGGTGGTATGGTTCTCCCAGCCGTCATTCCCCTGCCTCTCAAATTCCAAATGATGTTTGGTGTGGTTCATAAATTTGACATTTTTGAGAGCTTTCAAACAGTTGGGGCACTTGAAGATTGTGTGAGTCTTCTGTTCTGGCTGCCCATCTCCTTTATGCTGACCATAGTAAAAGTCACTAAGTAACAAAGTCAAACTTCCTTTCTTGGGATCAAAGGTCCCTTGACTCGCTGGACTTGAAAAGCCCACTTTCACCAACCCGTTTTCATAGCGAGGGTGTACACTTGTAGGACTGATGTAGATAGCATTCTCTGAGAGAGGTGCTCCATTCACAACACGGTTTACTGATTTGGGAACATTGCTGGAGGGTGTACTCGGTTGAGGATTTGAGGTATGGAAAGTACCAGAAGAGGATGATGCTGAAGAATGTTCTTCATCAATTTCTATAATAAATTCAGGCCTCTGCGGGTTAATGACATTTACTTCTGAAGTGGAATGGCGCTTCGATGCAGAAGAACTTCCGTTCCAACCTCCTACTGAAAGTGCTGCCCTTACTGGACTATGCTTTGAACTTGAGATTGGAACCAAAGGGGAACCCTTTGAAGAGCTACCAGGCACAACTTGTGGTGAATTACTTCTATAATCAGGTTCGGACAAAGGCTCAATAATAATAGGACTATCTGTCGATCTTGACTCAGCAGGAGATGCTGGCAAGACAATCACTGTCTCTGATGTGGGGGCTGCAGGGCTTTCAGCAGGAGATGCCGGCAAGACGATCACTGTCTCTGATGTGGGGGCTGCAGCACTTGAGGGCTGCAGCCTTTCAGTAGTCATTTTTCTAAGGCTGTTTCGCTTTCTTTTTAAACGTGAACCTGGGGTGACTCTGTTCAAAATGTTCGAATTAGCAGGTTTTGAATTTGAAGTCTTTCCAACGAATATCAGTTCGGCGTCTTCATTTACATGCTCAACCCCTACAAAGATCAGCTCGGCATCCTCATCGTGGGCTCGACTGGGTTCCTGCTCTTCACTGCACAACATGAACTGCTGCTCCATTTCTAATGTTTTGGTTCCTGACAGGTGTGGTCACAAGTCCCAGTACTTCCTCTATTCACACTGCCACCTGAGTACAAATACATCACACATCAGTAAGCACAGAAAAAGGACTTATTTTTCTCATCAAAGACTTTGAAATGATTATAAACATTAAGGACACTCATCCAGTGCCACTACCACTCTACCCCAACCTTTCAGGCTCAGACCTGGGCAGGAGACGCATCCATGGGCTCTTTTGCCTGAGACTCTCACTCAGCACCTATCTAAGCAGCCCCCAGACCAAGGCAGGAGCCCTATCTGCAAGGTCTCTTAAGTGAGTCCTCTCACCCCCAATTGCCTCCTCTAAATAGTCCCAAATCCTCCAGACCTAGGTCCAGCTAAGAGCCAAATCTACCCTCTCTTAGAGAGTCTGACCCAGGGCCTTTACCACATGCCACCCACCCAGGTCCAGGTGGGGCCCACATCTTCAAGCTATCTTAGCCCAGGCCCTCTGTGTGCTCTCTTGCTGAGGCTGACCAAGTCCCTGAACCCGTGCCCAGCCCCAGCCAGGAGTCACACTAGAGGACTTTTCTGGACTTCACTCAAGCAATCTTACCCTACCCTTAAGACCCCTGCATCACTCTGGTTAACAGTGAACTAGAGTTTCCCCAGTCTCTCCAATCAATAATCAATGCCGGGTAACTCAAGGACTAACCTGCTCACTCCTACTTGTCTTGAAATCAACCAAGCTCAGAGGAAAGCAAAAACCAGAATCAAACTTCTACTCCACATATGCAGGTTAGAACCTCACATCAGACACAAAGAAATGAACTCCCACAGCCCTACTAGAAAACAAACAGTATGGGAGACTGAGACAACACGTGCCCCTTAAAGACTACCAGTCCTATAGAAATGTCGCCAAAAAACTCAGGACACAGATTTTAAGGAACAACTGTAAACAATCGAAGGATTCAAAAAATCCAAAGAGGCCACAAGCAAACACCTCAATGAACTTAAAAGAGGACAAGAAATAAGAAAAGCCCTCTGATGCCCTGAGAGTGTATCCTCAGGAAGGAGGTATCCAGGTCAGCTCTAGCTCAGCTTCTCCAGGTCCTGTTTCCCAAGTGTGTGGTGGCACTCTACCTTCTGCTGCCCTCACAGACACCATGCCTAAGACCAACCTGGGCAAGGAAAGGGTTGACTTCCTCTTACCACTCCCAGGTCACAATCTGCCTGATTTGTAAAACGGATCATGGACCAGTAATTCCACATTTTCTACAGACTTAATTTGAAGAACTCTGTCCAAATGAGGAATTCTGGAGACTAAGAAATGATCTGCAGCAGAGGGCATTTTATAACATTTTCAACCAAAACGATGTTAAAGTAAGTTATAGGAAGCCTTACTATACACACAAGCACACATAAACAATCAGTGCACAAGGCATGGGTAAGTGTTTGTAATTCCAACACCCAAGAGAATCGTGAGATCAAGTACAGCTTCCAGGCCAGCAAGATAAGATCCTGACACAATAAAATAAAAAGTAACAAATTAATTTTTTTTTAAAAGCTGCTCAATGGCCAGGCTTAGTGGTACATACCTTTAATCCCAGCACTTGGGAGGCAGAGGCAGGAGGATCTCTGTGAATTTGAGGCCAGCCTGGCCTACAAAGCAAGTTCCAGGACAGCCAAGGCTACACAGAGAAACTCTGTCACAAAAAATTCAGTGTGCTTCCTCTATACCAATGACAAACACTGAGAAAAAAAAACCAAGGAAACAATCCTATTCACAATCGCCTCCAAATGAACCAAAACCTTGGAATAAACCTAACCAAGGAAGTGCACAAACTCTAAACAATGAACATTTTAAAACACTGAAGAAATTGAAGAAGACACTAGAAAATAGACGGACCTCTCATGATCATGGCTGAAAAAAGTCAGTACCATGAAAATGTCCATCCAACCAATCTACAGATTCAATGTAATCTCCATCAAAACCCCAGGAATTCTTCAGACACAGAAAATAATCTTAAGTATCGTAAGACCCCGAGAGATGAAGGAACCCTGAGCAAAAAACAATACTTATAGAGGTATCAACATACCTGATTTCAAGCTGTCCTACAAAGCCAGAGTAATAAAAATAGCACGTTACTGGCACAAACACAGGCTAGGTCAATGGAATAAAACAGAGCACATAGACACAAGGCCACAGAACTTCAACCACCTGACTGTTGACAAAGCTGTCAAAAGCACACACTGGAGAAAAGACAGCATCTTCAATAAATGGTATGAGAAAACTGGAAATTTGTATGTAGAAGAATGAAACTATATCCTTATCTTGCACCGTACATAATACATTCCAAGTAGACCAAGGACATGAGACCTGAAACTGAAAGAGGAAAAGGAAAGAGTTCCTTTCAAGATATAAATGAAGTAATAACTTTCTGAATATGGTATGTTTATGTCTGAACACCTGATTTCAGCTCATAAGTCAGATTTATGTCTTTTAAGAGTTAACAACTGTAGGTATCCAGGATACCTTACCTTCACAGTATAAGTACAGCCTGGCTCCCAACAGTCAGGATACCTTTCTCTTCTGAGCACTTCAAGTGAGGGCACCTACCTACCAGGCCTGAACAGTCCTCAGGCCAGTCCCATCCCATCCAGGAAACATAGGTAATAACTTTCTGAATAAGACTCAAATCGCATCAAAATAAGACCAATAATTGACAAGTTGGATCTCACGGAACTAAAAGGCTTTTGTACAGAAGAACTTGTCAGTTGAATGAATGGGAGAAAAATCTCTGCTGGCTATATATTTGACAGGATTAATCTCTAAACTATATAAAGAACCCAAGAAACTAAACATCAACAACACAATCAAATCTTAGATATAGGACTGATCAGAAAGTTCACACACACACACACACACACACACACAAAATACAAATGGCTAATAAACATTTTTTTTAATATTCAACATCATTGGCCATCAGAGAAATATAAATTAAAACTACTTTGAGGTTCCATTTCACCCCAGTCATAAAAAGAAAAATGACAACAAATGGTGGTAAGAATGTAAGTTGGAGAAATACTTATCCACTGCTGGGGGGAGTGTTAATTGGTGCAGCCATCGTGGAAATCAGCATAAAGCTCTTTCTAGAAGAGCTAAAGACAGAAATTCCATAATGTCCCTGTTAGTTACAATTATCAACACAACCAAGAGACACCCGGTAAGAGGGAGTCTCAAGTGAGGATTGGCAAGGTCAGACTAACCGGGTAACAGCACTGTGGCTGGTGCTATTCTTAGGCAGGTGGTCCTGGGTTGTGTAAGAAAGCTAACTGGCTAAGTGTAAGCCCGGGAGTGCCAAGAAATACCATTCCTCCATGGTTTCTACTTCACTTCCTACTTGAGTTCCTTCCCTCAATGATGGGTTGTAACCTGGAAGTGTAAGATAAAATAAATCCTTTCCTCCCCAAGTTGCTTTTGGATATGGTATTTGTAACAGCAACCCAAAGAAAACTAAAATAGATCTGACCTAGCTTTATCTCTCTGGATTATACACCCAAGGTACTGTACCCTACCACAGGCACACTTGCACATCCATGTTCATTGCTGTTCTATCCACAACAGCACGAACATGGACCAGCCTAGACATCAACCAACGGATGAATGAATAATGAAACTGTGCCGTACACATCAATGGAATTTTACTCAGCTGTAAAGACAAACAAAATTATGAAATTTTCAGGAAAATGAATAGAACTGAAAAATATACTGAGTGAGGTAACCCAGACCCGGAAAGACAATCACCACTCTTTTCTCTCATTGATGGATCCTAGCTTTGAACTTTTAGTTGTGCATTTAATTTGAAGTCATCAGGAGGCTATAAAGAGCACATGAGACGAGGGAGGAAAGAAGGCTTTAACCAGCGGTTGGGGTTAGGGGACCGTAGAGCAAATATGTTATAAAAGTAGAGGGGGGGGAGACCAAGAGTTAAAAGTTTAAGGAGGGAGCCGGGCGGTGGTGGCGCACGCCTTTAATCCCAGCACACGGGAGGCAGAGCCAGACGGATCTCTGTGAGTTCGAGGCCAGCCTGGACTACCAAGTGAGTTCCAGGAAAGGCGCAAAGCTACACAGAGAAACCCTGTCTCGAAAAACCAAAAAAAAAAAAAAAAAAAAAAGTTTAAGGAGGGTAATGGTAGGGTACAGACTGGAGGATGTGACGGGAATGTTAATTAAAACTAAGGACATACGGAAAAGCCTTGTGGAAAACCACTGCTCTGTAAGCTAATTAAAAAATACAGGTTTGGGAGAGGTGGAGAGATGGCTCAGAGTTTGAGAGCACTGACTGCTCTTCCAGAGATCCTGAGTTCAATTCCCAGCAACCACATGGTGGCTCACGGCCATTTAGAGTGAGATCTGGTGCCCTTTTCTGGTATGCAGGCACACATGCAGACAGAACACTACATATGTAATAAATAAATAAACCTTTTAAATATACATGTGTAGGTTTAGTTTAAGTTTAAACAGAGGTACCTTACTACACAGGTAAACAATACTTCCTCTAGAAAACATGGGTTATTAAATGAAAAACCTAAGTCCTAGGTGTAGGAACAGCTCTGTGTAATTGATGTGGGAAGCCCCAGAGGCTCCCCAACAACACAGGCTACTGCCGTTGCTCGACTGTTTGCCATAGCTACATGGTAAGACCTACTGCTGAAGACACCCCACAGTTTGGTAGTAGGATACCCAAAAATCATGCTGGAATTGACCTAGAAACCTCCTCTCTGACAGCTGGCTTTCAGTGCTGGAAGGTGCTACACAGGCCACTGGAGGCGAGGTCATTCCTAGACCTGTCTAATGGAGGACTCTGCATGCTACAGCGCTAACGTGACAGAGTGCCCACTGGCTCATTGGTAGAATGGTATACTACAGACAGGCCACTGGACTGGAGGCCTAGTCACAAGATGTAATTCACGCCTGGAACTGTCAACCTGGTCAAAAGCCCACGGTTGGAGAGGTCACAGGCGCTGGAAGGGAAGCCTCCTGTTGCTCCTCCCCCTTCCATATATTGGCATTTATACTTA